CTTCATGGAATTTATAAGGCTCTGTAGCCGGAGTAGAAAGTCAGGAAAAGGAGAAGAGAGAAGGAGCTGAGAACTAAACTTTTTCAACTAATCCCAATGGAAGCCCTTTGTCAAGAGTGGGAAAGGCCTTCACGGAATGAGAAGGATCAGAGAAGGGCATCTTAAATGAAATCGATCCCATACCCGCCGATTGAGGAGTTTTCCCAGCTCAAGGCACCAAGATGACTGAAGAAGATAGAGAGAAGTCGAGTAAAAAGTCCGAGTAAACCAAGAAAAAAGTTAGTAGGAATCGGACTTGAGACAGGGAAGTCCCTAGGAGAAGGTCGTTCAGTCACTTTCCGGGCTCTCTTGACTCTTGGAAAGGTAGCTTTTCGGTAATTAAGACAAGAGCCAATTCAAAGGCTACCGTCACTATAATTAAGAAGATTCGAAAGGGGAAGAAAGATAGCTCGTCGCTTCTTCGGTGGGATTGGGTCTATCCGTTAAAGTTAGAGCTCTTCATCTTGGGCGCAATAAATCACCAAAGAAGGTGGGCAAGTTCACCAGAAAGGTCAGACGTACCATGGCGCACTCGGGCATCTTGGTGCCAAGCAGCAGCAACTGCCCCCATTCATGAAAACAGAAATGATGATGAGCTAGTCGAGCTAGGGGCTGTGAACAAGAAGCAGCTCCTGGAAGAAAGGTGGGGCTCTTTCTTTGTCCTGATTCCCTCTTTACGTAGTCTTTAGACTCACTTCGGTTCACCTGGTCTACTAATCTACTCTGAGCGGTACCATCGATCTAGCAGACCAAAGGACGGATAGACACTTTCTAACCGGGTCCACCCATCGTCGGCTTCTTCATCTGATCTTATGGGAAGTCTAAAGGCGGACAGTGTAAAGTGACGGTCTTCAGTGAGCGTGGTGAGATCAAGCAGTTGGGAACGAATATCGAGGGCTTGGAAAACCGTGAGGCGAGTCTCGATGTCTGGTTAAAAATCGGGATTCCGGAGAAGGAAGCCCTGCATGAGAAAGATCCCAACCCAAAAGGTTATGCTGGGCTAAATACTAATGCTGGTTTAGAAACCTGATCATTTACGCCTATAGTATAGTATAGCCAACAAGAAAGAACGTTACCTAGACATGGGCATAATCATGTCATGAGTTCATGAGCCAATTCAAAAGCCCTCAGTAACTGTTGTGGTACTGATACGCTCAGATTGGGCTCAATAGCATAGGATCTCCATTGACCGACTCGTCACCCTTTCTGATAGATCCTGCCCCATGGGATTGGCATGACTTTAGGATCCTTGGGTTTGGTAGACCTTCATACAGGTCTCGGCAAATAAGAGTTTCCATTGTTCCGCGATAGCCTGACGAGTCTTGGCGGCTAATGACGAGTCACGTAATAGTGAATGAATTCTCTCAATGGCTTGTGACATGGTCGAGCTCTATGATCACGAACCTTTTCCTCCTCGTGAGCGGCTCTTCCCGAACAGCTTTTCGCTTATCGACAGGCGCTTTGGAGCCTTATGCGTTATGGGATCTAGCAGAAAAAGAAAGAAAAGATATATAGTAAGAGAAGAGGCCCTTAGTTGGCGTAAGGCTTTTACCAATAGCCCCATATTTGTTGTGATAGCCCTACTTCTTGAGCTTCAGCTTGTCTTGTAGAGCCTCGTGAAATAAAATAAAGAAGAATAGTCAGACTAGGTTGGTCGACAACTTCTTCGATGAGACAGATCCTATGACGTGACGGTCTAGCCCTATCCAATTTAGCTAGTTGCTAAAAATATGTCGAGAAGCATTTCCATCACCCTTGGTCTTGGGGACTCAATTGCTCTCGCTTCTTCTAGAAGAAAACAGGGGCTCCCCAATCTTTTCCCCAGCAAGAGAAAAGTTGCCTTAGAGGCTGGACTCGTTGAGTTATCTTATATATGTTGAAGAAATCACCAATACATCACCATTAAAATTGATTTGGACCAAGACTTACTTTTTCTTCTCATTTAAAATCTATTTACATTTTTTTTTTATCTTTAAAAACAAATCCATCAATTATTTTCAACCAAGTTATTGTTAATTTAATTTCTCTTGAGTTTTTTTTGTTACTTAGCTTAATTTCCAGATCTAGCTCTCTGTGGATATGACCTCGATCTTACCGAGTTAATTGCTACATCGCACACTCGTGCACTTACGAGTTAAAACAAGCCGATCATAAAAAGCCGTCAAGCATGGGGCATTCCAAAAATTCATGAGTACTTGCTGCACTTCCTGAGAAAGAAGTCATCTTGGTATTGGATCCGCTCTTCTGTTAGCATGAAGATGAATTATCTTCTATTCATCCTCTTTATTCTTAAGAGAACCCCCCACCCGAACCTTTCTTAAGACCACCAAGCCCTCTCGTATGAGTTCTACTTTTTTAGCTTTCAACAAGCAGGAGGGGGAAAATACTGCACTCACTAAGACGTGAAACTTTGTGACTAGATCGTCCTGAAGACGGATGCGATGGGAAGAAGTGGCATTTAGAAGTGTTGCTAACTTAAGATTTAGGTTTCGGCATAACAAAGCTTGCACTGTCTTTTCGCACTTAGGCGTACAACGTGCCATTGATAATGATTCTACTACGGTGCCACAAATTCTTAAGCTGATCCTAAGTAATCGTTGTTATTCATTGGATTCCAGAAGAACTACTTCGTTAGGATTGAGGAATTGCAGCAATTCTTCCTGAATAGCCTGAATTCTCCCGTCGAGAGTCACTTTGAAAGTCTTACCTAAACTCTTTCGATTGAATATGATAAAGGCTATAAAACAACAAGCTACTATCATTTCTTCATTATAGATTAAGATCTTCTTTGAACTTAATGCACAAATAAATAGAATAGCAGCAAATAACATCTTTCTAGCCTGCATACTCGTGGAAATCAATCTCATTTAGAAAGCTTATCTCTATCTTTCAGCAACTAAACGGGAAGGAAAGAAAAAAATAAAATAAGACGCATGCGGAAATTCATACATATGCAGAGAAAGGCTTCCTTTGCGCTAGAATCAGATGCGCTCGCCCAGCGAGAAATGCCCTTTCCTGCCAACCAAGTATGAATCAAAAAGAAAGAAGAGAATGAAAGGAGAAGATAACTTCATATTTTGGTAATTCTCTAGGAGTCATGTTTAACCTTGAATGCTATTAATAAATTCTACAGCAATAGTCCCTCGGACTCGGAAAGTAATAACGAAAATGGCTAACCCAATAGCGGATTCCGCAGCTGCCACCATTGGAACCAATAAAGCAAATAATTGACCCATCATATCATCCAAAGAAACAGAAAAGACCAAAAAAGTTCAAATTCACAGCTAATAACATTAATTCAATTGGCATTAACATAATAGGAATATTTCGTCTATTAAGGAGGATTCCCCAAATACCTAAAATAAAGATGATCATAGAAAATATGAAATATTTAAGAGGATCCATTTCGGGAATGTGGAATGTAAGAGAAATTCAAATGTTATAACTCCAGTACGAACGTCATTCGACATCTGAAAAACTCCATGGACGCTCAGGGTCGGGTCGATGAGGAAATCTCCATTTCAAAAGAATGAGAAGAGCATGCTGGGTTACCTCATTATGTCTGTTAACTTTTGTTTTTAAAAAAATGAGGAGTTCCCTACTCTCTGACCTATTGTGGATTTCGTGGGCAAGCTTTTCCCAGGTGTGCCACTTTGGCTTGGCGGTCTTTCACCAAGGGCAATCAAATAAAGCTTTAGAACTGCCACAAACGTAATACAGAGTTGGTCGATACTTTGGGATGGGACTTCAGTAGGGGGACTCCGCCAAGGTATTTATTGTATTGCTGAATAAGAAAGTAAAAACAAAATCCGTAAACGATAAATGAAAGATAATAAAGAGACTTTTGAGTATAGATCGAAGACAAAACCCAAGTCCATTCAATGAGAAAATGGTAAGTGTAGTTTATGCTGCTTCGCTCTCAAAAGCGGTACACCAGAATAAAGATTCTATTAAGTCATAGCTTATAAACTATGACCAGAAGGCCAGATGTTACCATTAATTATCTCCACCAGAGTCAATGGAGAGAGGTTTATTGTAGATTCGAACCTGAGATCAAGTTTGACGGAGCGGGGTAGTAGCTGCGAACCAATACTCTCGCCAGGAGCACCAGCCTGTGCCTCCCATCGGTTTCGATTCTGATTTGACAGCTGAGCCTATCTCACCATACGCTAATGAAGCGACCGCCAAGAAAGCTTCTCTGTGAGAAGAGTTCCCGGGTTGACATGCCCAGCTATCTATCAACATAGAAAGATAAAGCTATCTCGACTCTCTTTAAGTTACCTGTACCAATCTGGAAGTTTACAAGTCTATTGGGAAGTGAAGTCTGTCTCTGCCCCTTTAGGCAATTATCTTCTATTAAGATGAAGATCTGGTACCAAAAGGAAAGCATTGATTGGACTAGCTCGCAAAGGAGCCTAGTTTCTTCATGCCTGGAATGAGAGGAATTGACTCGAGTGTTAATGAGAAGGAGAGGGCTAAGCGCCTTAATTAAGGCGGTCTCAGGCTATTTACATTCGGTCCCAATGCTCTAGGCCATAGTTGGAGGACCCCATTCCTTCTGCAATTGGCATTGATCCAATTTCCGTTGTCTTTATAGTCCTATTTGCGGACAGTTCAACTCCATTTTCTTCCTATATGTGTCATGGTCATTACTATAGCCTCTTATTAATGAGTTATGCTGATATGAAGGTTGCTTTTGCCTTTGATTCTGCCTTTATTGGATAGCCAGTTGTTGGAGTCTTGAGGCAAGCGTATAAAAATACGTCTTCCCTATGGGTTTGACCAGTCTTCATTCCAGTTGCAGAAAAAAGCTAAACTCTGTAAGCCATCGAGTTGGAGTAGCTTTCCGGAGTGCTTCTTGTAAGGAAGTCCATTGGTGTAAGGGTTACAACAGGTAGGAAGCTAGTGTCAGTCTATAGCCCTTCTATGTCGTCGATCCAACCGAGGGCCTCTATACGAGCATGCGAGCTCTGGTTCAGCCATTTCTAGTGACATTTCCTCTATACGAGCCAGCCAGTGCTATTGCTTCTCCTTATGAGCCAAGAGGGTTAGTGAGGGCTTTAGATATTTCCATGGTAGGTCTAAGGGCTAAGGTGTAAGCAAGTGAGGAAAAAGCAATTTCGTATTTGAAAATATAAGTACCTCTTTTTTAGGAAAGCTAGCCTAGGTTCGTTCCTTACTTTAGCACTCCAATTTGATGGGTTAGCTTTCCCACGTCCTTGACTTTGCTTCTAACTCTCTTAAGTGTGAAAACTTTCAATACATCTATTCCTAGCTTTTACCCTAGCTACCAAGACTGCCTTAATGGATTAGTAATAAAGTATCAAAGGCTTTACTTACATGGTACCTCTTATTAGCTCAGGCTAACTATTCGAGTTTCTAGTTAGTAGCGATTCATTATAGAATCCAAAAGCAAAAACCACTGAGGGAGGAGTCTTACTCTTTTTAACCAGTTTTCCCAAACCAAGATATCCTGCCTATCCCCGAAAAAAGGGACTCTCTCATTCTCTTCGTAGCAAGAGTGGTTTTGACTAAGCATATGACGAAGGATCGGCCGAAGCTAGAGCTAAGTAGCTGTGTCAGGGTAATTAGGGAAAGCATAGGTGGACTTATGAACATTGATTGGATTGGTTCATTTCGTGGCTAATCCAAAAAGGTCAGCCTATAGACAAACCTAATTTGGATGGAAATTCCCACGGAGATGATTAATAAGATATCTGTGGGCTGGCTATGTCATCTGTCTACGTTTAGAGTGCTTCCCTGCAAAAAAAGATGGAAGCTTATTTGCTAATACCAAGCAATTATCATGATGAACTTTTCAACAAAAACAGAGAAAAACAAACAAGATAGCAGGTTATTATCTTAACCAAGACAACAAGAACGACAAAACACTATAGTGAGGATACAATAGATCGACTTACCCGAAGAACCAAAAGAGATATTTCTTTTTAGCCTTCATCCCTCGGCGACCTCCTCTTTAACTAGGGGGTTACGCCCATCCCATTAAAAATCATTTGAGCTTCCCCTTTCCTAAGATCCTGGATGTGGTACTGACGCATGAACTTGGTTACTGGTTTTACCAGTTGGCAAGTCAAGTAAGGAAAGGTCTGTTCATTTGTCCAGAAATCCGTTTTCGGTCTATATATCGATTGAACCAGGGGCTGGGCTCATGTTGTGTTGACAGACATAAGAAGTAGGATTAAGAATAGGGGAAGAGCAGCTCTACTTCTACTTCTGCTTATGGAAAGACATAAGAAGCACCCTCTAAAACATGCAAGATCTCTTATTAAGCCCTTGTTGGCATATCAGGTGCCATTGAACACAGTCCAGGGAAAGCATCTATCTATAGTGATAGTGATCCATCGCCTTGACTTGAGTACCACATCTCTTTCCTGCCCGCTTGTAGCGGTTGGTTAGACTGGTTAGAAGCAGAATCAAGAAAAGCAGAACAAGGGCGTTCAGGCTTTCTTTCTGAAGAGATGGGTGTGATTGTCTTTGTTTGAGGAAGAAGCATAAGCGCCCTTATATTTATATATAGTAAGCAAAGGGCAAGGCCTACTCTTAGTTTAACCATCTCTCTTGTATCTCTCGGAAAGCCTTTTGGTTGTGGGGCTATTGTTTCCTTGAGACAAGGTTTGAGCCTTGGTGCAGAGCTCGTTAGTAGTCTGACTTCGGGAAGATCGAAAAGCACTCAGCTAAAAGCATAACAACAATCCCAGCCCGCAACAGCACTAGTATATGGTGTCGAAAGCCCAAACACAAACAAGCTCACCTTATTCTTAGAGAAGGGGGCTAAAACGAGAATAGGAAAGACTTGGTATAGAATCCGTGCCTTCGTTCTGGCTATAATTAGCAAGCGAGTAAGGGAACCGCTCCTTCCGTTCAGGAAGAGCATACAAGCATTACGGGACTTTTTCATAGGAAAATGAATAGGACTCTTCCCAACTCAAGTCGAGCAAAGCAAGTTCTTATCTCTTATAAAACACTTCTGTTATAATCAAACATAAAAGAAATGATTTCATGTTGTGTTTAAAGAAGAATTGAAGTCTAAACTGGAAGTTGGCGCCTGCTTGCTTACCAAGCCACCCATTTGTTCGACAAAGACGGAGACTACATATGGTATCCTGCTCTTATAGTAAAAAAAGGCGATCCTCCGCTCAATAGAGCCTAGCCCGCTTAGCTACATGGCCCCTATCTCGCTCGTCCAAGATTAGGGTGCCTCTTTCTTTCAGAATCAGAATAGCGGCCCTAGTTTAGCTCCCGTTTTGCTTTAGAAACGAACAAGATATCAGGGCTCAAACCGCCAACTCCAGCTTGGCTTTCTTCTGTTCTAACTCTCTTCATCTCTTTCCTATTCAAAGCCAGGTTGTCAGCCGGGCAACAATCTGGCCTTCTTTTTTGCTCTTCACTCGTCAAGCTTTTCCTTGTCCATAGAATAACTTAATTTTTTCCTAAGTTCGCAGCCTTAGCATCAGTAAACCTTACTTAGCTAGCGCTACCTTTAGAAACAAGGCCCTAGCTTATCCTACTCCTGCTAGTCCTTTTCTTTTATGGATTCCTATTCTTGATCTTTATATTGATATTCTACAGTAATAGGAGGTAGTAGATCACGAATAGGGTTGTAGCTGTAAGGAAGAATGCTTTGGACAAGGAAAGGGTAAAGAATTTTATGCTCTTAGTAGCTTCTAGGTATCCTATTTTACTGCTGCCAAGCCGCTTACAATAAGAAAAAGGGCTGGCATCGCTCCTCACACATCAACGACCGGAGAAACTGAAATTGCACAACCAACAAAAAGCTAATTTCTTGCTTCGGGAGAGGAGTTATAACTTAGACTCAAAAAAGAAGTCGAAGTCAATGGCCCTTGCGATAAGGGATTACAACAAAAAGAATCCTTAGCCCCTCGATCTGAGTCCCTTTACCCGAAAGCTCAGAAAGCTGGAAGGCTAGGAAAAAAGTCAAGACAAGAAGATATAGGATGACGATCGTTCGGGAACCATAACTAATGGGGCACCTCACTTGAAAAAGAATAAATGAAAATCAGGACGAGAAATCTTACAACAAATTAAATTACATTAGGCATTGCCCTTTACACACACGATTTGGAATCCTTACACCAATAACAACACAATATAGATATGGGATGGGACTGCCAACTTGAAAGAATCGAATCACCAGTTCCGTGCTTGTACCTTGACGGAGATTCTCAATAAAAGAAGGAGGATGGGGATCCAATAGAGTCTTTAGCCTGAGTCTTAGAGTAGGCAAGAAAGTCTACTCAATCAATGAGAACCACAACGAAATGCTTCTAGCATGCCAAAGCAAGGTAAGCGATCGATTCTATCGATTCTCTTTCCCAAAGTCAAATGCTACTGTACTGAGCCAAAGCTTCATGCCCTTCTTGAATCTGAACTCAATGATTGAAAGTCCAAGCGTGCTCTCATTGGCAAGAAAAGAGGCGTCTATTTCTTTTCTCAGAGCTCTTCCCTTTGCTATAATAGGGATTGAGGTAGAAGCTTTTATAAAAAGTCTGTTTATTTGCCTTTTGGCACTTTCAGAATAGAATATGCTGTTAGATTTAGCCTGCTATCTTACTAGAAGAAAGATTCTAAGTTTTGCAAGTAAGGTTCTAGCCCAGCGGTGGGAGGGCTTTGTCCCCTTTCTCCGCACCTGGGCTCGAGTCTTATCGTGCACGCCTATCACCCCCGCGGTGCCTTACCTGCTCACTAGGCTTGCAGGATGTTAAGTGAGCCGTGGGGATTAGTTGTGGTGCGTGTAAACTGACCCGAATACCCCACGTAGATAAATAAATAAATAAAATTCCAAATTTCAAAGGTTTCTAGCTTTTTTTCGCAGCAAGAAGGTGTAAATTAAGTAAATCAGAAGCATGGACTGTGATTGAATGTTCTCTTACAAGACTAAGGTCTTTTGAAGACTAGGGTAATAGTGCTGGTCTACCCCGATTTACCCATTGATAGGGACCGAAAGCCTTGGTTTCTCCACCCCTATTTGATTTGTGGAGCTCTACTGAGAAAGACCTTGGAGGCCACGTGCCAATCATGGAACCATCGATTGCCAAGTCGCGTCCTTTCATTCGCAGAAATCCATGATCCCTCACGATGTTGATTGATGAGGTTGATGGAGCTTACTCGCCCTCGGTCAGTAGAACCCTAGTGAGGGAAGAGCACCCGCTTACTATATTAGTAGGGCACACTACTCTAGGAACAATAGCCAGCCGACTAGTCTCTTATACAATCATTTGTGGATTTAGATCCCTGCTCTTTCTAGTGCTATTGCCCCTGGGGATAGAGAGATTCTGGGACATAGACAAAGAAACCCTATTTAGTTTAGGGAAACTAATTCCTTCTTCTTGTCCTTTGATTGTGCCCATCTATTATGATAGGAATCAGAGTTAGCGGGCTAACTATGTCGGGTTTACCGGGCTAAGGTAACTATGAAAGGTAGGACCTCATCTCATTCCGGAAATGAAAAGATTCACTATTTCCCTGTGCTTTGACGGAGAAGTGCGGTAACCCCGCCAATCAAATAAAGTTTCCAAGCCTTCAAGGCAACCCCGTCCGATAAGGTAAGGTGTCCTGCCCCGTTAAGCCCGCCTTTGATTTTTTAGACCCAACAACCGACTTTTAGCTTAGCTCCACGAGAACCAAGCCACTGAGAGATCTCTACATATAGTAGGAAAGCCAGCACGCTCGGGGACAGATTCCCAGGGGATTTTGTTGGAAAGCACGGCCACCATTGGTCAGTACTAGACACTCGTAGCCTACCTCTTATAAATAGATCTGGGGTTGTAGAAACAACCCCCTTATCTCCACTTTCAGGACAGGAAAGGGCGATCGCGGGCGTTTGAACCCCAGTTTCAGTGTTGGTTCTTTGGCTAATTTGACTTTCTTAGAGTCTTTTAATGCTTCAGGGTTTTCACTTCCTGGCTCAATACTGGATTGGTTTGGTTACCGGCTTGGTTCTTCGAAGGTTTTGGATCTCCGGTCTAGTTCAGTTACCGGGCCGATTCCTGCTTCGCTTGGTAATTTAACTTGACTCAATGCTTTATATCTAGCTAATAATGATCTTGCTGGTAGTATGCCTGCTGCATTGGGGCAGTTAATGCAGTTATTAGTTCTTGATCTTTCAAGGAATTCACTTACTGGGCTAATTCCAAATGATTTTGGATTGCTTAGAAATCTATCATGCCTAGACCTTTCTTCGAATCACTTTTCTGGATCCATACCATCTACTTTTGGTGGTATTTCTGGGCTGCAATTCTTGAATGTATCTGATAATAGTCTTGTGGGTTCGGTGCCTGTTGAATTGGGCAATCTTTCTCACTTGGTTAAGCTTAATCTTGGTATGAATGTGTTATCCAGGTCGTTACCTGTAGAGTTTATGCGGTTGAGGAATTTGGAAATGTTGGTGTTGAGGCATAATAGATTGGAGGGTAGATTGCCTGATGGTTTGTTTTCGAGTCTTGGTAAATTGAGAGTTTTGGAGTTGAGAGAGAATAAATTTGATGGTGCTCTTCCTGGTGCGTCGTGGTCGTTGCGGAATTTGCAGGTTCTTGATGTTTCTGCTAATAATTTTACAGGTGATTTGTCAAACTTTAGTTTCAAGGATGATGTGCATCATGGGAATGATAATCCATCTCGTAAAGGTAAATCAAATATGCAAGAGGATTCAGATGGTCCAATGACAAGAGCGAGAGCGAAACAACTACAAAGGACCTTGACGAGTCAGATTGGAATGATTGAAGCTGCGTCGGAGTTAAAATTTGGCAATCAGTTTCAAATTGGTTCAAGGGTGCTTATTTGCCTACAATTGGAGCTTAAAGATGGGAAGAGCCCTTAATGGTTCTTTTGATGCTGGACTACTTGAATTTGGGTTGATAATGCAAATAAGTTAAGAAATTGATGCTGTTTACGTCAGAACAGTAGATGAATTTGAACCCGAATTTGAAGTCATCCATTGCATGTGAAAACAAGACTAATCTAGGTGGATTTCAAGTTCAGAACGTGATCTTTCCAGATTGTCCAACCATGATTGCATTGGACTTTTGTGCAAGAAGTTATAGCCATTTTAAATTCGGTCTGTTTATGTTTCAATTAAAGTCAGAAAATGTGTGCTAATGTAATTTGTCTGGTTACTTTGTCAAAGTCCAAGTTTTGGGCTTGATTTCTGTCATGTTGAATTTTCCTAAGTGTGGAGGGATGTTCCATTATAAATATGGCATCAGAATATGTAATAAACAACTTTTGGCCAATATTTGAACTTAATTCCGAGAATTAAGAGTTATTCTTCCAAATTGATTTGTGAAGAACCCTACCTGACTTATCACTCTTCAATCACAAAGAGTGTGGCGTCAAAATCCTAGATTGATCTTTGTGGCGTCCAGATCGACTTATCAAAGTATCACTCTAGTTTATCCTCCATTTTTATTTACCTTAAAAATACTATAATCTAGCCTAAACACCAGAAGAAAGACAATACAACCAGACCCATCCTTCATCCATTTTCGTCAGATTCATTGTTGCCGATTTTTGAATCATTCACGGCACAACATCTGGTATCAGAGCATCAGTTGCGATCTAAGGCAAGAGCTAGAAACAGAAGAAAGGCTTGCTGGAATTGCAATTGATAAACTTAGTTATGGCTGGAGATAAAGAAGATTTGCCAAGAGGGTTAAGTTTAGAACAGGCACAGGTTATGGGCTTACAACGATCTCATGCTGAGATTCGGGATGAAATGACTGGAATTCGTGAACAGTTGCATACCCTTATGCAAATGATGCAAAGAAATAATTTGCAACCGCAGCAGAGGCAAGCACTTAGGGTGCCACGAAATGATTTTGTAGAAGCTGATGGAGATCTAAATGGGGATGATGAGGCCGACGACAGGGGCAGACCAAGAAGACAGAATAATAATCCTCCTAGTGGTCTCAAACTTAAGATTCCACCGTTTCGAGGAAGTAGTTCACCTGAGGAATACTTGGAATGGATTCAGAAGGTTGAAAAGGTGTTCGAATGGTATGAATATTCTGAAGAAAGGAAGTGCAAGGTGGCAGCACTTGAGTTTACAGATTATGCTCTTTTATGGTGGGAAAACTTAAAGATTCAGAGGAGAAGGGATGGAGAAGAGGAGATTAGAACGTGGGCAACTATGAAAAGAGTGATGAAGAAGAGATTTGTTCCTGATTACTATAAACAAGAGCTATACATCAGACTTCAGACTTTGCGACAAGGATCTTTAAGCGTGGAAGAGTATGTGAAAGAGTTTGAGTTGCTACAGATTCGATGTGAATTGATGGAACCCCAAGAACAAACAATAGCTAGATTTCTTGGAGGGTTGAGGAAGGATATAGCTAATGTGGTTGAATTGCAACCGTACATCTTCCTTGAGGATGTTATAAAGCTTGCAAGTCGTGTAGAGAGGCAGCAGAAACGAGGAGGTGTCCGAACAAGTGTAACTACGTCAAGTACGACAAGGGACAGATCTACGCCTACTCGAACATGGAGCACACCTAAACGAGATGAGAAGGTGGAGGTCAGCAAGGGGAATACCAGTTCTGATTCTTTAAAGGGAAAGGAGAAGGTGACAGAACCTCCACATCCAAGGAGGTCACGAGACATCAAGTGCTTCAAGTGCTTAGGACATGGGCACATTGCTTCAGAATGTCCAAATAAAAGGGTAATGATATTGCATGGGGATCATGGAGAGCTGATCAGTGGAGATGAGGCTGAAACTGAAGATGAAGATGAGGCACAAATGGAACAGGAAGAGGATTTCGAACCAGTGAAGGGAGATTTGTTGGTTGTGCAACGGGTTCTAAATGCACAAGTTGATGTTAGTGCTGAGCAACGTGAGAACATCTTTCATACTCGATGTCAGATTCGAGATAAGGTGTGTGGGATGATCATTGATAATGGAAGTTGCACTAATGTTGCATCAACTACCTTGGTGGAGAAATTGGGCTTAACTACCATTCCACATCCCAGACCGTATAGTTTGCGATGGCTGAATGAGAATGGGGAGATTCGGGTGACAAAGCAAGTTCTTGTGCCCTTTTCCATTAAAACCTATCATGACGAGGTTTTGTGTGACGTTGCGCCGATGTCAGCTAGCCATTTGTTACTGGGTCGTCCATGGCAGTTTGATAAGGATGTGACCTACAATGGACGAAAGAACACTTATTCTTTCATGCTGAATGGAAAGAAGGTGAACTTGTTACCATTGAGTTCTCAACAGGTTAGAGAGGATCAGTTACGAAGCCAACAAAAGGAGGTGCAATCACGTAAGGGGCTGTTGTTAGCCAAAAAAGGCGATATCAAACAGGCATTAGCTTCGACGGGGGTTGTTTTCATGATCTGGGCAAAGCAATTGCTACAAGTAGAAGCACTGGACTTACCAGCACAGATTAAGGAATTGCTAGAAGAATTTAAAGATGTGTTTCCAGATGAATTACCTAAAGGGTTACCGCCTATTCGTGGAATTGAGCATCAAATTGATTTGGTGCCGGGAGCTTCACTTCCTAATAGACCAGCATACAGATGTAATCCAGCGGAAGCAAAAGAGATTCAAAGGCAGGTTGGTGAGCTTGTAGAGAAGGGCTATGTTCGAGAATCACTTAGTCCATGTTCCGTACCTACTTTGCTTGTACCAAAGAAAGATGGTACCATGAGGATGTGTATGGACAGCCGTGCTATCAACAAAATAACAGTTAAGTATCGATTTCCTATACCCAGACTTGATGATTTGCTTGATGAGTTGCATGGTGCTGCATTGTTTTCTAAAGTCGATTTGATGAGTGGTTATCACCAAATTAGAATGAAAGAGGGAGATGAATGGAAAACAACATTTAAAACTAAACAGGGGTTATATGAATGGATGGTAATGCCGTTTGGGTTATCTAATGCGCCTAGTACATTTATGAGGCTTATGAATCATGTTTTGAGGAAGTATATTGGGCTGTTTGTTGTAGTATATTTTGACGATATCCTAGTGTATAGCAAGACCTTTGATGATCATGTGAAGCATCTTAGAGTTGTGTTTGAAACTTTACGAGATTCTAAGTTGTATGGGAAACTCACAAAGTGTTACTTTTGTAAAGAAAGTGTCGTGTTTCTTGGATATATTATCTCTAGCAAGGGAGTTAAGGTTGATGAGGAGAAAATTGAGGCAATTCGGGACTGGCCAAAACCTGCTAGTATCGCTGATGTGAGGAGTTTTCATGGTTTAGCTTCTTTCTACAGGCGATTTGTGAAAGATTTCAGCTCTATTGTTGCTCCTATGACAGAATGCTTGAAAAAAGGAAACGAGTTTAGATGGAGTGCAGATGCTCAGAAAGCTTTTGAGCTAATTAAAGAAAAGTTGTGTACTGCTCCAGTTTTAGCACTTCCAGACTTTGCTAAAACATTTGAAATAGAGTGTGATGCTTCCGGAGTAGGAATTGGGGCTGTTTTGATGCAAGAAAAGAGGCCGATTGCATTCTTCAGTGAAAAGTTAAATGGAGCACGTTTGAACTACTCTATTTATGACAAGGAGTTCTATGCTTTAATTCGAGCTCTGGAGGTATGGCAGCACTACTTGTTGCCAAAAGAATTCGTTATTCATACTGATCATGAATCCTTGAAGTATCTTAAGGGGCAAAGCAAGCTGAATCGAAGACATGCTAAATGGGTGGAGTTTATGGAGTCATTTCCTTATGTCATAAAGTACAAGAAAGGGCAAGTTAATGTGGTTGCTGATGCTCTTTCTAGGAGGTATGCACTGATCTCTATGTTGAATGCAAGGTTGATGGGTTTTGAACAAGTGAAGGATCAATACGCTAATGATTCCTACTTTGCTAATGTGGTTACCGAATGTGCAAAGGGAGCTTGTGATGGGTTCTTTATGCATGAAGGTTACTTGTTCAAAATGGGCAGAATGTGTATTCCTTCAGGTTCATTACGGGAGTTGCTTGTGCGAGAGGCTCATGGTGGGGGGCTTTCAGGTTCATTACGGGAGTTGCTTGTGCGAGAGGCTCATGGTGGTGGTCTTAGTGGTCATTTTGGGGAGAAGAAGACTTATGAGTTGCTGAAAGAACATTTCTTTTGGCCTAGCATGTTACGGGATGTGCACAAGGTGATTGAGAGATGTGCTATTTGCAAGAAAGCTAAGGGTAAAGAGAATGCATATGGGCTGTATATGCCGTTGCCTATTCCAGAGCAACCGTGGATGGATGTTAGCATGGACTTTGTACTGGGGTTATCGAGAACACAGCGTGGAAAGGATTCAATAATGGTTGTGGTTGATCGATTCTCCAAAATGTCCCATTTCATTCCTTGCAACAAAACTGACGATGCTGTACATGTAGCTGATTTGTTCTTTCAAGAGATTGTTCGTTTGCATGGAATTCCTAAAAGCATTGTCTCTGATCGTGATACAAAGTTCTTAAGCTACTTTTGGAAGACTCTTTGGAGGAAGCTAGGAACGAAGTTACTTTTCAGTACGGCATGTCATCCACAAACTGATGGACAAACTGAGGTAGTAAACCGAACTTTATCTTCTTTGTTACGAGCTGTTATACATAAGAATTTGAAGAGTTGGGATACTTGTTTGCCTATTGTGGAGTTTGCATATAATCGTAGTGTGCATGGGGCTACAAAATTTTCACCATTTGAGGTCGTGTATGGCTTTAATCCTTGTGTTCCTATTGATCTTGTTCATATTCCAATTGATGAGAGGACATCTATGGATGGAATTAGAAAGGCAGAATTGATGAAGAAACTACATGAGCAGGTTCGATTACATATTGAGGAGAAAACAACAAAGTATGCTAAACAAGCTAACAAGGGGCGGAAAATGGTTAGGTTTGAACCTGGTGATCTTGTTTGGATTCATCTTAGTAAGGGCAGATTTCCAAGCAAACGCAAGTCCAAGTTGATGCCAAGAGCTGATGGTCCATTTCGGATTATAGAGAAGGTGAATGATAATGCGTATAAGGTAGATCTTCCTGGTGATTACAATGTATCAGCTACTTTTAATGTGAAAGACTTGACTCCATACTTGGATGATGACGACGATTATGATTTGAGGACAAATCATTATCAACCCGGGGCTGATGATGTGCATCATGGGAATGATAATCCATCTCGTAAAGGTAAATCAAATATGCAAGAGGATTCAGATGGTCCAATGACAAGAGCGAGAGCGAAACAACTACAAAGGACCTTGACGAGTCAGATTGGAATGATTGAAGCTGCGTCGGAGTTAAAATTTGACAATCAGTTTGAAATTGGTTCAAGGGAGCTTATTTGCCTACAATTGGAGCTTAAAGATGGGAAGAGCCCTTAATGGTTCTTTTGATGCTGGACTATTTGAATTTGGGTTGATAATGCAAATAAGTTAAGAAATTGATGCTGTTTACGTCAGAACAGTAGATAAATTTGAACCCGAATTTGAAGTCATCCATTGCATGTGAAAACAAGACTAATCTAGGTGGATTTCAAGTTCAGAACGTGATATTTCCAGATTGTCCAACCATGATTGCATTGGACTTTTGTGCAAGAAGTTATAGGCATTTTAAATTCGGTCTGTTTATGTTTCAATTAAAGTCAGAAAATGTGTGCTAGTGTAATTTGTCTGCTTACTTTGTCAAAGTCCAAGTTTTGGGCTTGATTTCTGTCATGTTGAATTTTCCTAAGTGTGGAGGGATGTTCCATTATAAATATGGCATCAGAATATGTAATAAACAACTTTTGGCCAATATTTGAACTTAATTCCGAGAATTAAGAGTTATTCTTCCAAATTGATTTGTGAAGAACCCTACCTGACTTATCACTCTTCAATCACAAAGAGTGTGGCGTCAAAATCCTAGATTGATCTTTGTGGCGTCCAGATCGACTTATCAAAGTATCACTCTAGTTTATCCTCCATTTTTATTTACCTTAAAAATACTATAATCTAGCCTAAACACTAGAAGAAAGACAATACAACCAGACCCATCCTTCATCCATTTTCGTCAGATTCATTGTTGCCGATTTTTGAATCATTCACGGCACAACAAACTGTGTTTTCTATTTTATAAAGTATGTGCAAAATTGTTGTTACTATGATGACAAAGTAAAGGAGATCTTTTTATGACTCTTGAGATGCATTTTAGTAAGGTCTATCATAATACTTCTTGAAATATTCAGATTTACAAACTCTCGCATTGTTATTGCTTAATTCTTCTCATATACGTATTTAACATGTATTCTTACACCTTAATTTACACACACACACTTTAACATATGATTATGGGTTGTATATTGGATTATTACATTATTTATGTTCTTTTGTTAAAGGTAACAACTAAGAGAAATGGATAGTATATAATTTTTAAAAAAAAAAGAGAAAGAAAAAAGAAAGAAAGAAAAAGAAAAAAGAAAAAATGATAATAATAAAAATGTAGATAAGTTTGGTTTTGTAGCCTCCCTAATCTAAGCAATTAAGCCTGAAGGGGTGTTTTAACACCTAATACCCTAAAGTCAACTAACTTGGGAGCTATTGGCCCAACGCTTGTTACATGGGTTGAGGAGAAAAGCTTAAGGGAATCAAACATTGCACTATCTACATATCAGTATCTATGACCCGAGTTACTAAGCTCGTAGGGGTGTCATAACACCTAATGCCCTAAGACCAACTGGTGTGGGAGTCATTAGCTGAAAGCTTGTTACATGGGTTAAAGATGCATGGTGTTTTAAATTATATGTATATATATTAAAACAAAAAAAGAAGAAGACAAAAATAATAATCTCAACCCAAGGAAGTTAACCTTAAACATTAGAACAAAAGTTTTGTTTTCTTCCAAGAAAAGCCCCATAATTATGTGTTGATACATTAAGTATAAAAGAAAGGTTTGTGAATACCTTGTTAAGAGGTATTGAGCAGGTATATAAATTTAATGAGAGTTTGTTTATCTAGATAGATTAATGGAAGTTAAATGATGACTACCTTGCTTTGTGGAATTTGCAAAGTATTTTTCTATTTTCACGCTTTGATTGCTAGGGACTAGTAATAAGCTAGTTGGGGTGTGTGATTGATACTTAAAAGTGTATCTTTATCAAGGTTTTATATCATCATTTTGTACTTGAAATATCAATAACTCCTTAACTAAAACATGTTTTATAATAATATATCTAATAATATAAGATACCTTTCATTTATAGTAAATGTTCATTTTAAATGCAAGTCTATCACATAAATGAAAGGATTGATTGATGAATTTAAGAACTGAAATTGAAATGACAAAGAGATGGTCAAACATAGAAAAGAGATGTCGGTGCAGTCCAAACCGGAACTCTGTTCGGTAATTGGGTCATATTTGGAGTTGTGGATCTCAGATTTAGGTCTACTTTATATGGATGGAAAGGTAAGACATAGGCCTATAACTTTCATATGGAGCCCAAGATCAAAAAGGTCATTTTCAAGTTCAAATTGGAGCAACAACAAAGAAGTCTGAATCTGTCCTCCAGCCCGCACTATTTAGTATTTGAGCCATATCTAGAGTTTTAGATGTTAAAATGATCTGAATTTTTTACACAAGAAAGCTGAGACGATTTTCTACAACTTTCATGTTTTCAAGTGGCTCTAATTTTGACGTTATCAATGACTTTTTGGGCAGACAAGAGAAGATAAGGATTGTCACCAAGTCAAGAGTTGGTCACCTACTCATCAATTAGTCATCAAATCAATAGTTCCCAATTTTGGCCTATAAAAAGAGTCATTTGCCATGCATTTAGGCATCTTGGTCTCCAGATCAAGATCATGCTTGTACTTTCTCTCTTTGTATTTTTTGTAATGTTTATGCCTTACTTTCATTAATATCAAGTTTATGCCTTTCATTTCCTTTCATTTATTTTGTTAACTTTTATCTTATTTATGTTCTTATTATGTTTATTTATTTTTCTTTCTTTTATTATTTTTAGTTAAGTTTATTATGTCAAGGTGAAAAGGTTACACTAATGGTGTAAGAATAAGTATAGTGTAAACTTAATATGGACTTTAATGTGTGATACTAACATGTTTTGTATTTGTTATCTTGTTCACTCTTTAATACTTTGCTTGTTCAATGACTAATCTTGATTTATGTTGTATAACACTTAGTACAACAAATGCTTGGCACTTTCATAGCCCATACTGTATGGTATAACCGACACCTTAGCTATGAAAGGAACTTGATTTGTTATTAACATAAGTTATAATCATGAATGCTTGACGAGATTTACAAGTATTAGCATTAATCGAATAAGATGACTAATGTAATCATGTTAACAATCTATAATCAGATTAGAACCTCCTTTGTGTGTGGTTTTCAATTGAATAATAACAGTTTATACCATACTTATTTGACATACCATTAGTGGAACCTCTAACCTTGACATTTGTTATTATCATTGTTTAATCCCTACATTAATATTCAATCTCAAAGTTCTTATCATCTTCTTCTCCTTCTTTTTCTTTATTATTATTATTATTATTGTTATTACTATTATTGTTGTTGTTGTTGTTATTGTTATTATTATTGTATTATTGTTATTTATAATTTATACAATTAACCTCCCTGTGGTTCGGCTCCAGTCTTGCCGGGTTATTTATTACTTCTACACTCCTGCACTTGGGAGAAGACATTAATCTTTTAGTCGTGTCAAAAGGTAAGGCATAGGCCTATAACTTTTATATAGAGCTCAAGATTTAAAAAGGTCATTTTCAAGTCCAAGTTGTAGCAACAATAAAAAAGTACGAATTTGTCCCATAGCTCGTGCACTGTTTAGTGTTTGGCCTATATATGGAGTTCTAGAAGTCCAAATAACCTTTATTTTTTTTCCAGGAAAGCTGAGACAATTTCTTACAACTTTCATGTTTTCAAGTGGTTTTAATTTTGATGTTATCAATGACGTTTTGGGCAGACAAGGGAAGATAAGGATTGTCACCAAATCAAGAGTGGGCCACCCACCCATCAATTAGTCATCGAATCAATAGTTTCTAATTTTGGCTTATAAAAGGAGGCATTTTCCATGCATTTAGGCATCTTGGTCTCCAGATCAAGATCATGTTTTTTATTTCTCTCTTTGTATTTTTGTGTTGCTTATGTTTTTGCTTTCATTAATATCAAGTTTATGCCTTTCATTTCATTTCCTTAACTTAACTTTTATCTTATTTATGTTCTTATGTTGTTTATTTATTTTTCTTTCTTTCATTATGTTTAGCTAAGTTTATTATGTCAAGGTGAAAAGTTACACTAATGGTGTAAGAATAAGTATAGTATAAACTTAATATGGATTTTAATGTTTGATACTAACATGTTTTGCTTATGTTTGATACTAATGGTATACATGGTCCCAATAGATGCTCACTCTGTCTCCGCAACAACGAAGATCACAACCACTTGTTCTTTGAATGCTCCTATACTAAAGCGATCTGGTGGGATTTTTGTGACAGATGCAACATTCCAAGAATGACAAAAGGATGGGATGAATGGATTCGATGGGCCACTGTCACTTGGCATGGTAAAAGTTTCGTCAATTTTTCTCGTAAACTTAGTTTTGCAGCTACAGTGTATCATATCTGGCAAGAAAGGAATGCAAGGACCTTTGCTGGAATATCTAGAACTCAGAATTTGGTCTTTCATCAAATTGAATGTATCATCCGTGATAAGCTGGATTTGATGAGGAACGTTCTACCAACAAATGAAAATAAAAGAATCCAACGAGCCTGGAGGGTTAATAACATAGATTCTTCATTTGATATTTAACTGGTTGTATTGGTTTCCCTAACAAATCAAGTTAGGTCTTGAGTTTTCAGTTCGGTGGCTAGCATGTAGCCATCTATTGTTTTACGTTTCTGTTCTCATTGTAAATCTGGGGTATGCCCCTTATCATCTTTGTATCGTTTTCCTTTAATATATACGTCAACTTACCAAAAAAAAAGATACTAACATGTTTTGTATTTGTTATCTTGTTCAC